GCGAAAGGAAATCTGATTCTGAAGAACATGACAATGAGCTTTGCTTGAGGAGCTGTTGATTGGATGGCATGTTTAACTTGTCCTTACAAAGTCGCTGGCCAGTGAGAGATACAACAGCAAGATAATTAAGCTACTGGCTACTTTAGTTCGGTTACATGATTAATTCTGTCTTTATTAAGATGGATGTTATTGTCTACATGCTTTAGCCTGGTGCTAGTTCTTGTTAATTCCTCTACTTTTCCCTCTCAGAGCAAAGTCCTTGACAAGATTGACATTGTGTGCAGCTTTATTTTCTGAGTGAGTGGCCAGAGAATCTTTCTTAAGTGAATTTTAGGTGGTTTCTGCTGTTATAATGTTATTTGATTTTTTTCATAGCATTCTTCATGTGGGGCACTTTTGTATCTGATTTAAATTAGATTAGTCTATGGACTCTGGAAGATACTGGCCCAGTTCGTGTGTTGGCTTGCACCTAGTGCATGTTTTGTAAATCAGTACAGAATTAGACTGTTTGCACGGTGTTGAAACTTACTGGAAAATGTGATCTCTGTCCTGACAAAGAGCATTCACATAAGCAAGATATTACACTTGTGTTATACTTAAACTTTATTTCATGTTCTGTAATTACTACTGGTATTAAAAGTGCAGGGCAGGGTTGTGTGTTAATGAGTTGGAGTGGATAATTTAAGGATGCAGCAGGTGGAGAAAGTGATCATAAAAAGGAAAAGCTCTGCTTTGACAGGAAAGAAAAGTGGGAATAGACATAGGAAGACCATGCATTGTTACTCCAGTGTTTTCAGAGCTTAGGTATGTGAGTGGTGATGGGGAAGGAGGAAATCTTACCAATGCCCATAAGCCAGCAATGAATCCAAATGTTGTTTAAGCAACTACGTTCCTGATCCAGCAGATGGATCTGATTCCACACAGATTTATGCTACTGCGTTGGGTTTCTTTTTCAGTGATGAGTAACACACGTTGTTTTGGCAAAATTGTTCCCAGTGGCCTACTCATCATTTGCCAGTTTGAATGAAAAATGAGCCATCTCAAGTAGCACCTAGCTTATATATGGTGCAGACCCCCATCAGAGTGCAGCACTAAACTACATGGCTTCAGCATGCTTGAAAATGAGAAGGACTGGTTTCTGAACTCATATGGTATCATTTCCTGTGTCCAGATAAATTATCTGTAGGCAAAAGGAAACGCAGTGAGGATGAGGAGGTTCCAACACCAGTGGAAATGGCTGAAAATACAGATAATCCCCTGAGATGTCCAGTCCGACTTTATGAGTTTTACTTGTCAAAATGGTAAGTGACAACGGAATCCATTTTTGGATGGTATATGGACAAGGATAAGCCTTCCAGCAAGAAACCTCATTGGGTGGGGCAGTTCTCTGGTGGAGCTTTCTCCAAGCCCCTGAGAGGATTTCCTTTTTCAGCTACTAATGCCCCTAGCATCTTTTCAGGGTAATTAATCCCTCAACCCCCTGGAAACCAGGAGCATTCACCTGAGCCCTTTTACTCTGTACTAGCTTGAAAGCTTCTTATTTTTCCTCCCCAGCACCACACCTCAAACAGAGCCTTGAAGACAGCTTCTACAGTAGCAGTGCCTCTGGTTTCAGTATTTGGGGGTAGTAATACAACTATGATTGGCAATAGTTTTAAGTGTTCCCCATGCTTTGTGGGGAGGAGGAGGAGGAGAGGAAAATGAAGAGAAAGATGGAGTAACCCCCCCTGTACTTTGCCCTTCTGCTTAAAGATTATTGGCCCAACAGGCCTGAAGTGCAAGGGAAAGAGCAGTCCTGCTGCGGCACTTGATGTCCCTGCCTCCTTTCTCCCCGCACAGAAAACAACATACACATACATGCGGGCTCTTCTTTGTGGATCTCAAATTATCATTTGTCCCCTTGTTCTGAGAGGCACAACCAAGCTCTATATTGCTGGAGTCTGACCCAAGATTCCTTACATCACATACCGCATTCTGTGTGAAAGAGGGTGGGTAAAGTATGAAAGGCAGAACACAGTTAGTGATGTTGACTTTATTTCCTGGAAGGTTAGAGTAATTTTTACTGCAGGAGTTGCATAGAAGTCTACTGAACAAGGACATTTATATAAATCATTCACTGCATCCCTCCCACTATCCATACATTATGCTTAGATCATTGAGCAAATGGAGTACTGCATTCTTCTCTTCAAAGGAGAATACACATGCAAGAGAAAGTGACATCTCATTAGTGATAGTTAATACCCTTATAAATCATTCTCTGAAACACACACAAGTTTAGTGCACAATAGTCCTGCTCCTCAGGCAAAATCACGTCCAACAACCTTCTGGAGCTTTGCTGGTTTTTTTCTCATGCCCCTTGTGTCCACCTGCAACGAATAGAAGTCTTATTGGGCTGTCAAACATTTTGTTGTACCATCTCGTATGACATTACAATTTAGCCTCTGCAGTAGTGGCGAGTGGCAGTCTGAAGCCACTTCCTGGATTTTAGTATAATAATACAAAGTCAGTAGGGGAAGAAATTCTTTCTGCCGAGGGCTTTGCCTTTTGTTAAGAGAAGTCTGCAAGGCCTTTTCAGATGCCGAAGGTCAGTCTTTTCAAGCAGATGGGTTCACCATTCTACTATTTCTGCCAGATGGACTAGGATTTAACTTTGTTCATCACTGGCTCTTGAACTCTTAGTACTCTAAAGAATGCTGCAGAAGTGTCAGGTGTTCTTAGAAATACCAGAAATGCATTTAGCCTGCACATGTTTAACAGCAGTTCCCACAATTGTCTACAATAAGAAAGCAATTTTATTCAGAGACTAAATGCCAAATGCACCTGTCATATTAGCCTTGATAAAGAATGCTTTGCATTCAAAAGCTTTTCTAACTTTATTCCAATCATGCAGTTGGTCCAATAAAAGATATTGCCCACAAAAATCCTTGCCGCTTGCATGTATTAAGACAATAATACCATGTAATAGGATGATACTGCTATTGATCACAACTGAAAGGAGAGACTGCCATTCTGTTTGGTTGTGTAAGCAAGCAATGCTTTTTGAACTGGAGCTAACTAGGCATCACTGGGTGTATCTACATGTGCCTCTTTTAAGTGGGCTTAGCTTAAAACAGGGGCGGGCAATTATTTTGGCAGAGGGCCGCTCACTGAGTTTTGGCAAGCCATCGAGGGCCGCATGACAGGCAGCTAGGGGCAGATTAATATTAATTTTCTAAATTTTTTAGGGGCCCCGCAGGCTGGATAGAATGGCCTGGTGGGCTGCATCTGGATCCCGGGCCGCATTTTGCCCGCCCCTGGCCTAAAATCACCATCCTGAAGGCGCATTGAGGGCACGTGTCTACACATGTATGTCCTTAATGCATCTTAAAAATGGTGATTTAAGGCTATGTGAGCCTAAATTTGATACCTGCATAAAGCAGGTATCAAATTTAGGCAAAAATAGCTAAGTCGCATTAGCGCACATGTAGATACACTAACGCACATTAACGAGGTGTGTATCAATGGATGAAGAAGGTATATTTAATCACCAGTAGAGAGATCTAAATTATGGTGATCTAGTCCAAGAGTAACGTCTACTTTCCTTGCTCGCTCGCTCTCTCTCTCATGAACTGTGTTGTGGCCAGGTCTCTGTTAATACTGCCTTTTGATACATGGTCTTACTTTCTTTACACTAACAGTTCTGAAAGCGTGAAGCAGAGAAGCGATGTATTTTACCTTCAACCTGAGCGTTCTTGTGTACCTAATAGCCCTATGTGGTACTCCACGTTGCCAATAGACCCTGGGACCTTGGACATCATGTTAACACGTATTCTTATGGTGAGGGAGGTACATGAAGAACTTGCCAAAGTCAAATCAGAGGACTCTGATATTGAGTTGTCGGACTAAGTGAAGTGGGGTATTTTCCTTTCAATACACACTGCAAGCACCAAACTGTGAACGCATCCAGCCTTTGGAAAATGTTGTGTATCAAGTAAGCCAAGTCAATATCACTAAAGAGGCATATTTTGAACCACAATGGGTGTGCAAACTGGAATCGGAAGGAAGAAAATTACGTAAGCTGCAAGAAAGGACGGCATCTTATGGCAGTGATAAATCATCTAGACAAACTTAAGATAAACTAACCTGTTCAAGCGGTGCATAAATTCTTTATTTGTTTGGGATCTAAAACAAAAAATTGTGAAATATTTTTAAGGAAAACTGTTGTGTAACTTCTACCATAGTAAGAATGAGCACAGAGAGCTAGACTGTGGCACACGTGACTTCCCAGCCTGATGGCAGGCCATCCATTACTGCGGAAAAAAACCCTCTGGAGACCCGTGAGCTTTCTTCCCACATGGACGAGAGACAAAGTACAGTGATGTTCTGACAAACAGATGCCTTCTGTTACACACACGCACGCATACCTACACATGCGCACACACTTTTTTAAAAAAACTTTTTTTTAAAGGCCAGAAACCAATGGTACTATCCTACAGGACAGCTACCTAGACTGCTGTTGAAAAGTTACATAATGCTGGAGTCTAGCTCTCAATCCATACTAATAACTATGGCTCTGATGGAGCTCTGATATGAGTGAAGTGCTGTAAATCAAGCATCAGAGCAATCATGTTATGGGACAGAAATTTCTGGAGTATTTATAGGAGAGCAAGAGTCCAGGGCAATGTGCAGAAAATCCCATGAATAGCCCACTTGCTTCTACAGTCTTGATAAAATTAGCAAACGCTATGGCGTGCAGAAATTTTTTTTCCTTAAGGCAGCTTTCCTTTTCCCTCCTTTCCCAACTCCTACGTAATCCCCCCCTACCCCACACACTTTTTTTTTTTTAACGAGGCAAGTCTGGAGAGCCTTGTCATTTCAAGTGAAGATACACTCAGTCTTTCTCTTTCCCCCTTACAAAGCCTACAGTGTTGTACAAAGGATGCAGTATTACTTTTGACAACAGAACTATGGTAGAAGAGTACCTTGTGCATTTTTTTTAATCCCACCCTGCCCAAAGAAGTTTAGTCATAGTGTTGGAAACTGAAAGAATTTTTTTGATGGCTTGGCTGTTACTGCATCTCTTAGATGTGGAATTCTTCCGTATTGCATCTAAAGGACAGGACACTAATCAGATGATAACTGCGTCTCTCTCCATTTATTCAAGTTTGAGATGCTTGTTTCTGAAGACCAGGTCATGAATGCATTGGAAACCCAAATTATTTTTAAAGAGAATTGTAAGGTTTTTATCTGTAGTTTTGGTCAGTAGCCCAACTTCTGTAGCAGGGATCTGATATTTGACCTTGTCACTGAAAATTCAGGAATTGAAAATCAACAGCCTTGAAAGAAATCTCTTTTTTGTTTGTTTGGGGTTTTTTAATTTTATTTTTTTTTTAGCAGTAACAAAAAGTAATTTAACAAAAATAAAATCAAAGTAGTCTATTGACGTTGTGTACTCAGTAGTCCTGTCCCTGCTTGTAACAAATTTCACTGATGTATTTTTTAATACAGAAAACTGTGTGAAAAGTAAACCTGCCCCTGATTCTGTATGATCCAAGTCCATCTGTGTCTGTCATTTCTGATCGGAGATGCTGTTTACTTCACATCCTGGCCTGTCATTGTTGAGAGGAAATACTTAAGCCAACATATATTATCCTACCAATAAACTGCCCAGACCCATGGAGGCTTAATGATTTCAACTATGTTAATTTTATAGTGTATAAACACTAACCTTTCCCTCGCTGTAGTTATATTAAAGTAGTAGTTAAATAGCAGGTGCACTATTCTGAGTTTGGACATTTGGTATAATTCAGAAAAAAATCAAGTCTATTGTATGATGCAGCGTGCACATGCATGCACACACACATGCAAGCAGGCAAGCACAGGAGATGTCTTGCTTGCTTGCAAGTATGCCCAGAAGTTCAATATTAATACAGACCAGGAAATGTCCATGTATTATTGTAATTCTTGGACATTCACCACACAAGTGCAGCTATTCAGGTCTGTTTCAGGTTGTTTTCCCCGTGTTTGATTTTTCAGGTAATAAGAAAGGAAAACGGTCAAGACCAACCTTGTTTGTTTGTGGGGGTTTTTTTCCTTTAAACAACAACAAAAACAAAAATCTGAGTTTTCCCTTGATCAAAGTTATAGAAATATTCCCATAGAATAAAATAATCTATTTGTATATGATGAGTGACTTCATTCATTTTTCTTTCTGTCTCTAAAGAACCTCATTCTCTTTCCTGTCTGCAGAACTACAGCGTATCAGTTCGGTCTCGGTATCTGAAATGATTCTTACCCTTCGTGTCCTCTTCAGAAAACAAACCTAAATCACTTTAGCCGAGCTGATTGAGAGCAGAGTTGCTGAACATTTTTGTCTTTTTTATATTTTTTTTCTTTGACGTTAAATGGTTCATTGCAGCTTTTCGGTAACATTTAATAGGATCATAGTTTGGGTTTTCCACAGTGATACCTTCTGCTTTGTGGTTCTTCATTAGGGACAGTGTACGTTTCCTGGGTATTCCACTGTTGTCTCAGCCACCCAGAAGATCCGTGGTCAATTTGGTTAGGGTTTCTTAGTTAGAGGGCCCTCTTATTTAGAAAAGTTTAAATATATTTATAAGTTTTATGTAGAGTATCAAAGGAACTGGATATCCTAAAACACTTAGACATAACTATTTATAATAAAAGGTTTCTATATTGTTTGCTGTCCACGCAACACTTCCATTACTTGAAATGCTCTATTTAAAGAGAGAAATCACTTCCTTTAGTCTATAAACGAGCATAGAAATAACAAAGGTGTGTGCAAGAAGGATGAAGGCATTGCTCCCTGCTAATAGGATTTCTCTGATTATTTATATGCCTTCTAACCCCTGGAGGCTTCTAATTTTGAGCGTGCTATCCTATATATGCACAGAGAAACATCTCTGTACAAACCGTTATGCTTGAGGGCCTAGGAGCTGAAATGTCTTGCTACTTATTATAGGGTGTGTTATAGTAAATTACAGCTGTATCCAGTAATTAGAGTCCTTGAATTTTGCTCTTTTTATTTTATAGCCTTTCTGGGGTATGACTGTGCTCTGTACAGTTCTGTCATTTTTCTAGTGCGAGTTACCCTAAAAAAAATGCTCAGTACTTAATGTACTGAGCTCCTTCAGCTTCAGTTGACTTTAGAGGGAGACTGAAGGCACTTGGAGTGTCACAGAATCAGGTGCAAAGGAAGATGCATGTTTTATAAATTATTCCATCAACTTCAGTCAACACTGATCCAGAAAAGACTGGATTTATCTGGGAAGTCTCCAGTTTGATCATGTTTTCTCAGAGGCTTAAAATCAAGTGATGGCAACATCATCTCTTTCCTGCAGTCGTATAACGACCAGACAGCACTGATGAAGCTTTAGTGCTGGGGTTACAGAACTGACTCAGAATGTGCAATAAAGTCTTTCCTTGAGCAATAGGTTCACTGTTGCCTTAAAAAATAGAGAACAAATGATGTGCATAGAAATGTTATTGGTAGGGTTCAATTTCCATCTCAGGCTATCTAAACAGAATAAGGGCGTTTCAGTTTTGCTAGCCTCAATGCAGTAGGGTTTCCTTTTTGTGTGTGTGTATTATTTCTAATAAACCCAATGAAATCAGAATCTGGATTAGTTTTCTTTTGCTGCATGGCTGCTAATTTAAAAAACGTGGCATGTAAAAAAGGGACATCTTTTCACGCTAACTTGCAGTACTAAAACAAGCAACTGGACTTGAGCAGCCAATGATGCAGATACATTGCAGAAAACAGATGGAACCTACCCATATTTACTGTATTTTTTGTAAATCTTTGCAGCGGCAGTAATTTTTAATTCTTGACAAACCCTGAAAAAATGGCTGATGCTTATCAAATACTTCTATATTTTTTCATGAATCAGATTTTCCAAAGAGCAACGTGAAACTGGGTTGTTATCGGTCCTTATGCAAGAGAGATTTTGCAGCCAATCTTTGTGGCATGGTACTTCTTGATGGAATATGGATTTCACTCCTGTATTGAAAGTGTCAGACGATTGCTAGCTGCTTATTTTCTGCAGGATGAAAGTTAGTTTCATCTTACTTTGGTATTAATAAAGCGGAATCAAAGAGTCTGGTTTTCCCTTTAAGAATTGCAACTTTAGAGTGAACCCTGCTTGCATTACACAAGAATTACCACTGAAGTAAAATCCCTGTGAGATGAGCCGTATTACCATTTTGTGTCTTTCTGTTCCTTGATGCCTTCAGAACTGAAAGGGTGGGACTAGATTTTTACACTATAACTGTTCTGGTGTGGGCAGTAGCTTGAGAACAATTTCTACTTCAATATTGTGACGGAAAGCTTGTCAGCTAGTTACGTCTAGCCACACCTGCAACAAAAATACTTTTTTTTCTTTGGGGCTTAAATGCACGTGTAGACGGTGACAGCAGGATTAATTTACTCTGGCTCAAATTGAGCCGGAGTATATTCAGGCGCATTAATTGCACATGTAGACAAGCCCAACGTTACTTGAGCATAATACAAGAGTGACAGTATGGTATGCAGATGCTGTTATACCAGGAATGGGACAGACTTTGCAAAGCCCTACTTTGAAAACTCAGAAGGTTTAAGTTTAGAATTACAAACTTTTTTTATTATTTTGTTATTTCAATTTGAGGAAGAGTTTTAACGATGAACATAATATTGTTGTGGGTTTTTTTCATTTAAAGTTAGGTGCTACATGCATTTGAATCAACAAAGCTAAACTGATTTATAAACCATTGTCAACTTGCCCCATCATATAACCATTCTAGAATTTTGTAACACAAGTTTTAATGATGACATGAAACCTAGATATCTGGGATTCTCCCATCCCTAGTTCCTAACTTGGATAGGATGATAACATTCACACAGCTAAAGCTTTTCCTATCTTCCTGAGAGATTTTGTGGTGGTGGGGTCTCCCCAAAAACCCTGGAATTTACTAGGGTAGCTATAAAAAAACACAGTATTCTCTCAAAATGATCAAGTTAAAAAAAGCACATCATTCTGAATGCGTATGCATTTCTTTGGCCAAAAATCCTATCTGGATTCTCCATGATCAGATTGTGCATGCAAAGGCAACAACAGCTGGTTGAGCCATGGATGGCTCATATGGTTTATAACAAACTCTAATTGTTCAATTCACAAAGGAATAGCTCATTTGCGATCTTGGGCCAAATACCTCTCTCGCATTTGAATATTGCCTGTGTATATTTATAACCCAAAAAAACCCTAGAATGGTCTCAGTCTTGATCCTGGGTAGCCAGTATCCCTACCCATAGCCTACTTGAAACAGGGGCTGATTCATGGCACTTGAGTTCTGTTCCCAGTTCTGCCATGGACTCATACCAGAGCCTTAGTTCACATTACAAGAACTACTACTATAATATAGATGAAAGCCTCCACTGAGTCACTTGCTCCTTTGTACCTCACTTTTGCCATCTGTAAATTGGCTATGGTTTTCCACTTCATATGGGTTTTGCAAGCCTGATTTCTGTAACATTTTGCATCCCTTGAATGAAAAGTGCCATGTAACTGCAAAACATTACTTCCAGAGCTGTAAAAGGCTAGTTAATGAATAAGTATTTACTAACTTCAGCCTTTATTAAAAGGAACATATTTCTTAACCCTGAAAGGGAGGGTTTTTGTTCAAGTAACATCTGTGTTCTAGAAAAGTGACTAAGAAAATCTTTAACTTGACCAGAAGAATAAATCCTTATCCCACAAATCATGTCAAGATCTCACATTGAAAATGATATCTTTATGGTTTTTTTGAGCTAATTCAAACCCCCACAAGTTTAAATATTTCAGGGCAGAATGTACATATTTTTCCATATGTTTGGACAGCACCTTGTACAATGGGACCCAGTCTTTTTGAGACCTCTGAGTGTCTGGGTGCTACTGTGATCGACTGACATCAAAAATTGTTATGCATAACATTGAATCTATGGGGGGAAGGGAATCATTTAATCTGCAACCATGATCAGCTAAGACAACTAATTTCCCCTATCCAATTTCCTGCTTTGCAAAAGTAATTCCATCTGCAGGTCTGTTTCTCAAGGTGTTTTGTAACCTTAATGCTCCTCTTGTGGACAGATTTACAAAATATAAAACAGCAACTCTTAATAATCTTATCAATCACTATTCACTTGATAGTTGATAGCCAGTGCTGTAGCTTGGGAAAGCAGTTAAAACTCCCTTTGCACTGTTAGGAGAAATATCTAATAAACCTGAATAAGCAGAAAGAGTGAGTCCTTGGCACAGGAGGGTTTACTGAAGTTGCTGCCATTGCAACTCCAGCTGTTACTTAACAGCTCAAACTATTAGCTATCTCACCTACCTGAAAAAGTCACTATCCAAAATCACTGATGCGTGCAGTTAAAATTCCCCTCGTCTTCTGAATTAAAACGCCTGCTTCCTCTTTATTTGGATTCATAGCAATTTTTCTGTATGCATTTTTTTAGCCCTTGATCCTACAGAAATGTATTTAAATGGAAACATTTGATGATTAATCCCACTGGCTACTATATACAGTATACACAAGTAATGTCAAATGTGTGCATCTGTGTTTATGGCCTACGTGTGATAAGTTTTCTAGCTGTCTCAAAACAGTTGAGGAAAGCCATTTAACCTGACTTGTCATTCAAAATCAGACAAATGAGACTAATTAACTGTTCCAGTAAGATATATAATATTCCTCCAGCCATATTTCTATGTAAATAAAAAGAAAATCTCGCAGTTAAAATTTGCCACAGCAAATAACGATTCCTATAATTGTATATGTACTGTTTATAAATACATATCCTTTTATTAGCACTACATCCTGAATTAATATTGTACAGTGGCAAACTGCTGAACCACAGAATATCCTGTTACACAGAATATGTGACTAGACATTTTATACCAGCTTCTGAAAGTATACTCTGGGTTCATAGGCAGCCAAATCTACCAAGATGAGTTACAGAAGCTCTGATTGATTTTTTTTTTAATTGAGGTGTCTTTTAATATACTGTACATCTGATATTTTTGTACTGTTATTTGAAGAGAGCTCAACTGAAACATTTGCAGCTGGTATTCAGTGAAGGAGGCAAAAAATGTTAAGCCTAGATGTTCTTGTTAACAATAACGGCATGTGATTTGAAAAAAAGTAGCGGCAAAATAATGTGAATGGCAGCGTAGTGACTAAACTATTGTTTAATGCATTTCTTTTAGGTAGTTTATTGTGGATGGTCTAGTAACTGAAATTCAGATGTTGGCAGTAGGAAGCTTTGTATACCAATGTATTTAAGTGTATAACACTGGATAGGTCTCCCTTTTCATAAATGCTTAAAATACAAAAAGTGGAGATTTTTTTTGTTGTTGATGTGTTGTTTTTGTTTCTCTTGAAACCCATCTAGGATTTAGGGAGGGCATCACAGTACTGCTGTGAAGGCACAGAAACGCATTCCTTACCTCTAAGGCAGAACTACTCAGAAATATATTTTGAAGGGACTACAAGTGAAGTTTTCCTGCTCCAGGGAAAATTGTGTACCAATAACATAACAATAAGTTAAGGTATATTTCCAGTCCATTCTGCAAATTCACAGTGCATTATTTTCTTTAGTTTAGCTCTTACGGTGATATATTTTTCCTTTCCCCAATGGGTTTAGGCCCAGATCCTGTAGACATGAATGGGCTTAAACCTGTGAATAAAACCCTAGCTTTAAAAGGGACTATTCACGTACTTAAAGTTGTGTATACGCATAAGCGTTTACAAGATCAGGGCCTTCGTATGTAAAATATGATTTAAGAATTAGCCTGCATTCTTGATAACAAAACTGTCTTTAGGTGATTAACAAATGACAATAGATCTGTATAAGTTCTTGGGCTGGTCCATGTTATTGCAGTGACTTTTGGTTTGGGGTTTTTGTTTTTTGGGGGTTTTTTTGGGGGGTGGGGGTTGTTTGTTTTGTTTTTAAACCAGAAGCTGTATGTCTGGTCCTTGCTATCTGTGTGTGTAGTGGCTACGTTTTGAGGAGTTGCAAGCTGTTACCTTGCTGTGGCAGCACGTGCAGGGGTGGGAGGTTCTGGGGACAATGGCGGGTTTAAATGTGTGTATATATTGAGCACCTACTGCATTTGTATTTTTTTATATTGTTCAGATAAAATGTTCTCATTTCACATGTCAGTCCAGTCTATCATCTACCACCATGTACAATTTGAATTAAACACCGTTTATAATAAAACTATATCTACATCTTTGTCAGTGTCTCATCCTTTTGTGTAGAAAGATTAGAAAGGAAACAATGCCTGGGCTGATTCTGCTGCTAAACCAGTGTAAATAAACCTTGAGAAATTCAGGATGTGGACAGACATAACAGTTGTATCAGTATTAAATTATAGCCAGAGACACTGTTCCAGTATAACTCTTAGGTTATATCTACTTATCTGTTCCTATACCAGTATAAGTGGAAGTAAACTACTGTAACCTTTCTCATTCTGGTTTACAATTACAGCAGTTTTGTCAGCTTATGTTGGTATTTTAGTGAATAGACATAGCCATTAGATCAGAAAAGCAGATGCATGCTCCCAAATCTTCCCATCCTGTTTTAAAATGGTTTAGTTACCTCTGTCCACTGCCTGAACAAGCTTCTCTACTTTTATACTGGTAATTACAGGTATCACCTTGCCTCAACTATTCCCCATTTCTTCTGCATGTTTAATTTTTGCATGCAGCCATCTCTTTATTCCCAGCCAAGCCATGTGTAGCACTTCTGAGTGAATGCATGCACTTTGCCTAGGCAAGTGTGGCCTGTGCAAGCTAACAACATTCATCAGTGTAGCAACTGTATGTTGATTTAGCCTGGTAAGGAAAAAGGGAAAGCTATGTTCCATAAGTGCACCCCAGAGAAGTTAGTTCCCCGCCCTCCCCAGGTGCTTAATTAGCTGTACTTCACCACCAGGTGTCTTATGTTAAAGGACAGGTGTTAGGGGTGGGGGAGAAGGCTAGCTAGATTTGAGAGCAGTAACAGGAACTTTATTTTCTGCAGCTTGTAAAACATTGCTGTCTTGGTAGAGGTGATTGTTTTTGGCAAGCTGAAGGATAAGCTTATGGAAGTATCAGAAAGACTCTGCAGCTGCAGCAATACAAGTGGACGCGTAGGTTGCAAAATTAAGAGAATCTGCCAGTGGACAGAGGGTTTTTCCTCCTGGAGTGAATGCACTGAGGTAAGACCATCCTGCTTAGAGACTCTTTTAATCAGATGTCATGTAAATACGCTTTTGTGTGCAACAGAACTTGCCTAGTAGATCCATGTGCTTTCTGCTGTTTGGAGGCAAGCTACAGGGGTAATAAAGCGGGGGTATATCGCTCCATGAGGCAGGTGGCTGCAGGGTATGTTTGCTAGAGAGAAGGCTGAGTTTTTTTCAGCTCCAGCTTAGGCCTTGGAGTCTGGATGTGAATTTCATTTTATTCTGTGGTATCAGATCGTTGCGCTGACCTTGTCAGAGAGACATCTTTCTTGTTACAGGCTTTCCCTGGAAGCTCGATGCTGAAATCTGTTCAGGCTGCCTTGTTGCAGAGCATGTGGGTGAGACATGTTTCTTGCTTTGCTGATGCTGTAAACCTGTTTGCAGGATCTGAGATGGGTTGTGGACTTGGGGTGGGGGAGACAGGTGTGCACACAATGTACCATCTGGCGGAAATTTGGGAAATTGGTCTGTGAAGTGTGGTTTGATTTGATTTGTTAACGCAGCACCTGAAAGTCTGCCAGTTGTTTAGTGAATCGAGGCCAGTGCTCTTTCAAAAGCTGCTGCTTGGGTATTGCACCTGATTCCATAACAGAGAATTACAGTACATTAAGCCAGCAGTGCCCAAACTTTTCACCCCACAGGCCGGATGGGCAGTGCTAAGTCTATCCACGAGCCAGATCCAAGCCAGTGGGCTTGATCCAGTAGTTAGGATCCAGCCCCTGCTGGATCCAGTGAGGTGCACAGCCCAACCCTGGTCTTTCTGCCCTGGAGTGGGAGGGAGAAAATGGCCCGGCCCCAATCTGAACACACAAGGGCCGGGAGGCGCAGATCAGGACACGTGGCAGTGGCCCAGGCAGGGCTGGATCCAGCTGCCTGGGGCTTCCACCACTTCCCTGCTGCCAAATTTTCCAACCTGTGGGGATTTCCGCAGGCCAGGTGCCATGGTTCGGAGGACCAAAGGTTGAATGCCCCTGCTCTAAGCTGTTGGGGTGAGAAGGACAAGGATAATGGTGATCAACTAACTGAAATGCTTGTTCATCGATGTGAAGGTGGATAATACAGAGATCCTAATAAACTTACAGGGTTACCTGCTGCTACCTTGATTTTTTTCCTCCTTTGGTGCCATGTGATCTTCAAACCCATTTTGCAGGATGGGGTTGGTGTGCGTAAATGTAGGTGCCAAAATACCTCTCTTGCATGAACTAAAAGCAAAGCTGTTAAACCGCATCCACGTTGTATGTGTGAGTCCATGCATGGCATATCTGTCTCTGTCAGTGGTACATTTAGGCTCTAAGCACCCGGGCTAGATTTATGGCACCTTTGGAAACTGCCAGAACTTTGTTTTCACTCGTATTTTGACTACAGATAAATAATAGAACGATTTTTTCTGTTGCAAGTAACTTGGAGCACAACTATGGATTTCTATTTGAAACTGCTGGGTTTATCTTGTGAATCATGTTTGCAAACCTACCAGTACTAACACTGCAGCACCCTTGAAAGTAAATCAAGGCACCCCAAGGAATACCTCTTGCAGTACTCCTAATGATAAGGAGTTGGACCAAGGGCCTGGAGATGCAACAGCAGTGTAAGCAAGGAGTAGACAGACAACAATAAACCCTTTGCTGGTGTAAGTGCCTCCAATCTAGCATAAAGGTACCCCAGGAAAAATCTAGTAAAAATGTGGGAGTGCGGGGGTTATCTATGGCTTCTGTGTCTATCCAGGGTACCCGTTTCTGTTTCTATCCAGGATAGCAGTTTGCTGTAGGCAGAAGCTGTTCAGTGCTGCCCCACCACCTCGTGGTGAGGCACTCGCATAGCAGCTATTCAGTAGCTGCTCATCCATTTACACCCGGCTCCCAAGCAATTACACTAGTGAAAATGTGTCATGTGTTCAGGCTCTGAGCCTGTTACTCATTGCACATGTTTCTGCACAGCTGTCGGATCACTTCTGGCTACTGCTATTCTAAGCAGCATTTTGGATCACAGACTCTTCTATGAGGCATGTGTGCTGTACACAATAGAACTGGGGCTTGATGCAAGTAGTAATAACCTGGAAGTGTGAGGTCCTCTATGCCAAATGTGCCACCCATTTGAGAGATTGCACCAATTAATAGTCATCTCCGAATGCTCTCGAGAGCTCGGTTCCTCACAAACCAATGCACAGAGAAATCTTGCAACTTTCCAAATCTTATTGCTTAGTCTACTGGTGTCACTGCACCAAGGTTGCTGATCCTGAGACTACTTCCTAGCTTAATCTTGCCTTTGGTGGGGTCACAGAAGGGTGCAGGGGAGGGTATTGTTCTGACATTCAGCCTAACTCTCCTCTTTTTTTCAGTTTCATTCTACTTCTCTTAGTGTTATCCCTTCAGCTTAGAGTGTTTTATAGAAATGAAGTGTTGTGAGAGTTCATTTTATCCTCTGTCCTTCCCCCAACAAAAGTCTCTGCTCTCTGAAACAGCAGCACTGCACACCTAGTGTTTCATCTACTTATTTGAAAAATCACCATACTAAGTCCTTTATACATACACACAAGTCAAACATTGGACATGCAGCTATCTCAGGCTTGCACAGCTGGTCAGATGCTAGTCTCCAGCTATTTAACATTTAGAAAGGTAAAAACATACATTCTATTTTCCATGCAAAGAAACTGTATAATACGGTCAAAACAAACCTGAGCCACACAATTTTGCCCTGTTTTTAATTTAGTCCCAATTACTTGGGACTTGAAAGGTTTTTTGATTCTTGCATGAAAGGTGGGGTCTTCCTCCCCTCCTTCCTTTTTTCATGCAAAAGGAAAAAAAAAAAACTAGGGGGTGCCTAAATATTGGATTCAAGGCATGACACTGAGCAAGTGAAAGACACAAGAAAATGTACTGATGCAAGAAATAAAAAAAGCTACAGGGGTGTCCCTTCTGTTAGAGAGAGAACTACACGTGAGGTCAGTCTCATGAGTCTGCATTCTCATGCAAATGATTTTCAGTGATCAATAAGAAGATACTAAATTAAGCTGTAATAATTTGGGACCAAAGGAAATGACACCCCTTGAAATGAGGGACAGTTCACAAAAGTCTGCGAGCAACTTTTAGTCTTATAGCTTACACAGGTGCCTTGCTCTCTGCTTTCAGTACCCTAGTTGTCAACAGCACATTCCTGTATTTAGGACATAAAATGCGGCAGAGACCTGTGCAAATATTAGAAACTGTATGCTTGGGGGAGGGAGGCTTTGGAATCTCACTGGCAGGAAAGCATCTGGTGTAGCTTCCAGAAGAATAATAAAGCTGGCTGAACACTTCATCCTCAGTGATGAAGTGTTAGATGGGACTCGCCCATCCATGCCATGCTCTAGCATCAATCAGCAGTGACACGTGCTATTCCACTTCTAAAAACATCAGACCTAAGCTACTTGTCATCACTTTCAAGGCCCTGTAGCCTAACCCCAACCCATCAGTCTACTGAGAGTTGATGCCTGTTGGCTCTTAATGCCATCTTTCATTGCCCATGCAACCTGAATGTGTCTTAATGTTTTATCCCATGTTGGTTCTCTAGGCTTGAGAGAGACTCCCCATAAACACCCACAAAGCCACCTCTTTATCCTCCTTGGCATTTATCTTTTCTGAAGGAAGTGCTAACAACAATTTCCCAAGAGTGGGGCCATTGGCATACTGAGGCAATGGCCAGTCATGTTGACCAGAATGGTCTCCTTATTTCCTTATACTCCCTCATCTGTCTGTTGTCTCTTGGCTCAACTTTGGTTGTAAGCTCTCTTGGGCAGGGGCAGTCTTTCTAGTCTCTGTTTATACAGCGCTTAGTGTAGCGGGTTCTGCCCATGACTAGAGCTATAAGGGCTGCCACAGCTTGGGTCAAGGTAGCAGTACCTGGTACTGAAACAGCGATTCAAGCTTTGCCGAATGCATCCTCCCAGCACAAACTATTGTTCACAGAAGGTCACAAAAGAAGAAACTGCCTAGTTTAAATGCGAGGGGCCAGATCTCCTCTGACTTGGGGTGGGC